TGACAGGAGCTTTGTTCTTCTTTGCTGTGCCATTAGCAGTCGTCTTGCGCTTCTTGGCGGGTTGTTGCTCTTCAATTTCACCAACAGTCTCCACTTCAGTCTCCTCTTTGACTTGTTCTTTGACCTTCTTGTTAGTACGCTTCGGTTTTGCTGGTGCGTCTTCTTCGGAAGCATCTTTCGTCTCTTCTTTAACCTCCTTCACATTCTTACGTCCGCCTTTGGTCTTAGCAGGTGGCTTCTCCTCAACTTCTTCATCTTCCTTCTTGACTGCTTCGGCTTTCCTCTTGTTGCTCTTCTTAGGCTTCGTATCCGCTTCACTGTCTTCGGCCTCTGCAGTGTCAGAAACGTCACCAGCAACAGCTGCTGTCTTCTTCTGGACACTCGGTACAATGGCCGAAGTCCGACCACCGACCTTGAGGAATGTAATCTTCTCGCCCGTCGGTAGTTTGCTTGTCTCTTTCTTGCCTTTTCCCCAACGATGCTTCATAAGCCAGTCTTGAGGAAAACTGTCTGAATCGCCATTGGCCTGCACAGCCGTGTCACAGACGTACATCATTGCGTCATGTAAGCGCTTTACTTGCTCGTCGCTGAAGGTGTTGCTGTATTGCTCCGGGTGCAGTTTGCTTTGGTACATTATTTCGTCGCTGCTGATGTTAGTGGTGCTCCTAGTCTATTTTGCAATGAACATACCCAACCCAGTTCCCTATGCCTGAGATGTTGGCTATGTAAGGTCAGACAATGCGTTATTTCAATGATATGGTGAGGAGATGCGAACCCTGATCCAACAGTAGAGCTTTCACAGGCACTCTCTTACTCTTCAGCTTCTTACTCAGCCACTCAACGGTCAAGATGTCTTTGTCAATAACCGGATCCGGGCCGTTCTCTTTCAGTGGAGTCGTCTTCCTCATATCTTCCGCATCCGCATCCACCAGCCTTATTCGAGCCAGTCGCCTTGCATCCACAAAGGCAACCTCGTTCTTGGGCTCTCCTTGCAACTGCAGAATGAATTTCCAGTACTTGGGTGGCCACTCCGCTTCCTCGGGTTTGGTTGGGCGGTAGTATGCTGTTTCGTCGTTGCTGAACTTCATCCAGCCAGACATACCAAAATGCATCAGAGGGTGTGGTGCCGTTTCCATGACCAGCCAGAAGTATTTGCCCTGCTGGCGTGCATCTAGAATTTTCTTGCCGGACATGGCTTTTTGAAAGGCTGCTGCAGAGGTTCCAACCTTTCCATAGACAATCTAGATGAGGCCATTAGATGCTTTCGTACAAATGAGATGGCACCAAGCGCACATTGTCTTCTTGGGTTTTCACCGCTTGTATAGTCTTTCCGACAGCATGTTTCTTCAAGAAATGCACGATGCGTGCTACTTCTGCAATCTGATCGGTGTTAGCAGGTGTGATGCGCGCGCAACTATGTAGAACGCGTCCCTACCTCGGGCATCTTGACAGTCAGATAGGGTCTTCTTGCGCTGAACAATAGGTTGCGATGAGATCCACAATAACACCGATATGATGAGCTATACGGACTACTGAGGACGTGATTGGGGAGTTGCGCTGAGCAGTACCTTGGATGGCGAGGGTGGAGGCTTCGCGTAACACGCGAAGGCGCGTCGTCACGGGACGAGCATGCATCACGTCATTACTCAATTCCGTCTCGCGTTGCCGTGAGAACGACCCTTGTTGCTCTCCACCTTCACATCTCCTGTTCGTCTTTCCATGCAAGGCCAGGCATGAGGTCGAGCCAGTTCCATTCTCTCCGAGCGACTACGGATGGACTTTCCTTTCTGGGTTGCCCCGCTACGCCGTTGGCAACATGACCAGGACTGACGATAACGCGATTTTACATAATTGTCCGCCCTAGACGCCAGCCTACGGGTATTTGAACTCGATGGCTGCACTGTTTTATCTTGAGATACTGCAATGCACTGATCATGCGGTGGAACTGGATCACTCTGTTTGCCTATGCGGCCCATGTCTCCGCGCATGGAGCCCACCACACTGAAGGAAAGGGTTCGTTCTCTCAAGAGCGGCTAGACGAGCTTGAGAGGAAGTGGGGTACAGATGTAAGTATTCCAAGTGACTGTGCTTGAACACAACTGACAGTCGCTTAGTGGGGCTTCTCTGGAATCTCAACCTTTGCCCACCTGCCGCACACTCGCTGCTTGACTAGCCCCGAGACAACCTACGATATCGCCATCCTCGGTGCACCCTTCGATACCGCAGTATCATACCGACCTGGTGCTCGATTCGGACCTCGAGCCATCCGTGCTGGCTCTTCTCGTCAGACGTCCTTCCGTGGCTTCAATCCACGCGCGGGGTTCAATCCATACACATCATGGGCAAAGATTGTGGATTGCGGGGATATACCCATTACACCCTTTGACAATGCCCTGGCATTGCGACAGATGAGTGAAGCTTTCCAGGAGTTGGCAAACAGGCCAGCGACCGAGAAGAGCACTGAGAGTGGAGTGTCGTACTTCAAGAAACCAAAGCTGCTTACGTTTGGCGGAGACCACAGCATAGCACTGCCAGCTTTGAGGGCATTGAAGAATTTGTACAAGCAGCCAATCGCTGTTGTACATTTTGACGCCCATCTGGACACTTGGCATCCAGGTTAGTGGCTCTAACAGTTTCAACAGAGTCAAAGATTGTTAACTTGGTGGAAATATAGCAAAATATCCAAGCGCATGGCTGGATCCCGAGGATCTATCCACGCAATCCTTCTTCAACCACGGCAGCATGTTTTGGTACGCTTCGACCGAGGGCTTGATTGCAAACGGCTCGAGTGTGCATGCGGGGTTGAGGACGCGACTGTCAGGCGACGACGATGCTGACCATGTCGATGACACCCAGCAAGGTTGGCAGCGCATTGCCACGGACGACATTGACGAGATTGGAGTGAAGGGAGTGATTGCATCCATCATGGACCGTGTTGGCACTGAGATGCCGGTCTACCTTAGCATCGACATTGATGTGATCGACCCTGGGCTAGCGCCAGGTACCGGTACTCCAGAGCCTGGTGGCTGGACCACTCGGGAAGTGATTCGAATTCTGCGTGGTATTCAGGATATGAACGTGGTTGGGGCAGACATTGTTGAAGTCAGCCCTGCATATGACGGCTCGGCGGAGACGACGGGCTTGGTTGCAGCACAGGTTGCTTACGAGGTATTGACGAGCATGGTCCACAAAGGTCTTGTTGAACAGGCCCAGACGGGTGCGGGTTCCAAGAATAAGGATGAGCTGTGAGGTTTTCACGAATTTGGCTAGACAACCGCTAGGATAGGTCGTAGACGCCCTACTGATTTACGATGTGTGAGTTCAATTCAGGAATGTAACGTATGTCGGATGTACACATGTTCTTCGTACATGACTCTTCTAAGCGATCAAGAACAGACGTCTCTCTGTCAATGTCGTAGTAGCCGCCGCAGCCAACATCGCATTTCCGATTCGCGCTGCAAGCGAGACTACCTTGCCTACTTTGAACGACATGTCACCTACTGAAGAAGCAGCTATCTCTTCCGCACTCGCGCTGAGTAAAAAATACACGCTCCGGTCGAGAGAAACAAGCACCTGACACCCATTGTAAAGCGTTTCCCACTCAGCAACTAACCAAATGGGTTGAACAGGCTTCTACATCACGTGCAAACATTCTACCTACGAAGTTTGCTACCAGTACGCAACGGGATACCTTGAACACCTCACTTGTGTGGTTCTAGAAGCTGGAAGCGGGAGTTGGTCTCTCCCATGGTTTGTGATTGGGTCAAAATCTTAGCTGGCTTCATCTACCATAGCTGTCCCGCCAAACTACTTGAAGCATGGTCTTTGGGTGCTGGGTTTCTCTGGGTAGTTTGGCATGTGGTTGCTGTATGTTTACTAGTCGTGCTTCCAGTGGAGTTAGAGCATCGCATCCTTGCCTCGTATACGTGCGCGTGTGTTCGAAGTTGCTGCATGTTATCCCTCTTTTCAACATCTACTATCAGTTATAAATATTTCTCAAAATGATAAGAGTGATATATATGTGCAAAACATTGCACCGCCCAACTGCGCCAACTACACAACCATGCATAAAGCTCTGGCGAGCACCACCCCGTCGCCAATTGCCCGCACGCTCCAGGCAGCAACGTAATTTCCCCACTTTACCTCACTGCTGCCTACCCTACCCAACCCAACCTGACGTCAAAGCAAACCGTTCGCCAGGGAGCTATGACCGCAGCCAGTAGGTCACGTGCCGCACTAAACTAGTGGCTTCCCACCGTCTATAAAAACCTGCCCTCCCACCTCTCCTTTGCAAACCAGCTCTCGTAAGTTTTTCCTCTCTTACCCCCTACTGTCAACTTTTACCAGCATATGCTAATGATGCTCCCAGTTTGCCTTTTGGCTTAGATCAAGTGTAGTAGTATGTTAGCCCCTTTATCGAGTTTGGCTTCTTCAGCTAACGAAAGCTAGTCTGTTCTTTTCAGTTTAATCTCTGAAACGCTAGTACGCTAGCATTCAAGGTTATACTTATTTTTGCAATTAGTCCTGACGTCCCTGGGCTTGCTCATACGTCGGGTCACAGTGTCGCCTCTATTGCACTTCCTGAGGCCGACGCGAACCTTTTCATTGAGATTTCTGGCCTGCCAGTTGCTCGAGGAAGAGAGATGAATCGGGCTGCTTAAGTTGTGCTGGGAAAATGAAGGTCGCCGGGCGGATTCCCATGGGTGGCTGGGCCTAACCCATCATTTTAGCCATGCATATACTCTTCTGTATCATCGTAGGTAGTCATTGGATCCATCACTCACATACGTCATGAATATATGGAATATGAAATACACTAATAAAGTCAGTCGTAGTAGATAGTTTATCTATGATTGATTGGGCTCTACAAGAGTTGATAGCACCACAAAATGTGAAGTGGTAGGTCACAATGGAGTGGCCACAAGTAATGGCATATGATTCTCGCCATTCGTGCGCTTTCTGCAGTCACGGTTATCCCTACTCTGCATCCACTTCAAACCCTATCCTCCAAGAACCTGCTTGCGAGCCTGGTCATGCTCAATCTTATCTTGGAAATGCTGACGAACCTCTTCCAGAATGTGCCCCATGATGTTCTTGCCAGGATAATTACCGTTGTTAAGCTCTGCCTTGGCCTTGCCAATACCAATACCCCAAAAACAATCTCTCGGAACGCACTCAGCTAGATGACGGTTGCCAGTGGCAAGAAGCTTCTCTTGGAGAGCAGGGTTCTGGTACTTATGCGCATTGCCGATCTTCATAGTCTCTTCCTTAACTTTATAGAATTAGCTTCATGGAATATAGTTCTGAGAATACCATAACGTACGCACATCCCACTCCTTGCGATCAAAATGTTTGACCTGTTTACCAAGAAACTTGACCTTGACTGGGTCGTCGCAATCGATAATCTTGCGTAGAGTATCGTTATCCTTGAAGTGACGCGCCTTTGCAGCCTGGAAGAAGTGTTCTGTAGTCTTGTACTCAACATTCTCGACAACGAAAGGCGCGTGATACATGTTGCTTAAGAAGCTGTACTCGGCGCTTGACTTGTTGAAGTAAATGGTTCCGGTGTCTTCTGCCATGATGGCGCTTGGATATAGGCTCAAAGGAAGAAGGTCAGCTCCGAGTGGGAAGAAGGAGAGAGAAAGCAGAAGCAGAGGCAGAAGTGGAAGCAGAAGCGCTGGTATACTATCACATGCTGCTGCCTATTCTATAGGTATGTCTCTTACCTTCACCGCTGTTCCTAGGTAGCAACCTCACCGCTGGTAGAGACAATCACTCGCTGCAGCTTCAGCAACCTCTTCAACACTGGTTACGTTGACTGTATTTCTCAAACCATCCAATTATACATATATCTGTTCTACACAAAGGCGATGATCGCAAGGCTCATGTATCGATGAATCAGATTTATCGAACTGCCAGCAATGGTACAACTCTTCTATCCCAGCACAGCTGGTCTCTGTGCTGCGCGGAAGATAAGTCGCACAGCGGCACGACCGCTTTTCTGTCAATTCCTCGTATCCACCGCAATGCTGATTTGAAGGATCTGCTTCGCTCCATTCCCTCACCAGGTTTGTTTATGGAACCCGCTCACCGATCAATCATTTCACACCTTTTTGATAGATGTGGTCTCTCGAGCGCTGCAAGTCCAACTTGAAACACAGCTGCAGGCAGCCTATACAGAGGTGCGATCGCACCCCCATAGTTCCTTTTCCACGCTCCTTTTTGCACTTTCCCACCCTCATCGACTCATCCTCTAAATATTTGTGCAGCATGATGCAAGTATGTTGGATCAGTCGATTGTCTAACGTGGTCTCACAGTCTTGTTATATCAGAACCCAAGCACCAAACACACGCTCAGCACCACCACCACCACCACCACTGTCATCATAAGATCCCAACACGGCACAGTGATATACCATACTATCTTACAAGAAAAAGGTCATTGGCGATTTGTTGCTATTTCTCTCTCTCGTTCTTCGAGGGAAGAGTGTCGATAATGGGAGGTTTCACAACAATCGACCGACCGCTCCTGCCTCCTTGGCAAGCTCACTTACGTCACGGTAAACATACTAAGATGTAAATCTTTTCTATGCTGCTTCCGACAAACATTCACTGCAAAATTTTCTCCGGCTTCCTGAATCGGCCAAAATGGACGCCCCCAATCACGCCCTCGACCCGTCCTCCGGCAGCATGTACTCCAATGTCGGCAAGCGCAGCATCGAGTCGATGTTTGCAAACGCCACGGAAGACTTCATTTCATCAGAGAAAGCAACAAAGAGCTTGAAACTAACCAGAAGAAGCCGGTTTGGGGAATACACGATCGAATTATGGTACCGTCGTCTAAACGCATTCCGCAAACACACTCTAGGCATCGACGATGCAGATTCAACCACTCCCACTGGCGAAGAGATTGAGCGGTTCATTTCCATCATTAGCCGTCATCTCAAACCATGTGGCGGGGGCGTTATAAGTTTCTCAACTATTCGCAGCGGGATTGACTGTCTACTCAAGGGATGTGTTTTCTACCACGCGGACTTCAAGGTTACCGCGCACGAAGGCTCCAGGATTCAATCTCTTGTCCATACGCTTGTTCGAAATGGCACATTAACAACCGATCTCAAAGTTGAGAAACAATGGATCGGCAGTGGACTAGTTGCAAAGCTAGTTGACTCAACTTACAAGAATGCACTTCGCAATGGGACTATCTCATGGGATTTGACACTAGCGAAAATCCAAAGTATCGTACTACATGCTGCTTTAGGGTGCCGAGTAGGTGACGTAGCGACTTCGAGATATGATGATCACGATCTTCCGTTCCTTGCCTATGGGGACATTACCATGAAATTGGATGGCGGATCTGGTGTTGAGAATATTTGCATGTCAGTGCTAATGCGAAACATCAAGGGGAGAAAGTAAGTAGCAAAATTCCTTTCTTGGTACATACCAGCGATGCTGGTTTCTCCAATTTCTGGCTTCGAGGTGTTCAGCATGGATCTTGTCTGCTGACCATATTACGCAGGGGCATATCGTTGCTGAATTCCACGAAGCGGTTCTATAGCATCAACAGCCCGCTTGAATCCATCCCTCTGTGTCCAGTGAAAGCCATTATTATTATGGCACTGCGTTTCGGCAACGTCAAGAATGCTAATAGCATTGAAGAACTGCTGTTGAACACTGCTCGCCGAGATGACAAGACTGTACAATGGAAAGATCCACGCCGGCCAATACTACCAAGTTTCACATCTGGTCACATTGTGCTACTAGATAAGCCTGCAAGTTCACGTCAGTTTAATGCAACCCTAGCTGAAGTTTCCGTACGTGCTGGCATAGTCGCCAGAATCACAGGACATGACCTTCGTAGGGGGTCTGCACAGGACATTGCTGCTGCTGCGGCAAAGGGTATAGTGCCTCCGCTTTTTCAGGCAGAATTTGCAGCAAAAGAGTTGCTCTCTCACGATTACAGGACAATGTTTATGGGAGTCACAAAGAGATACATAGGTCCTGATCAGCATGATCTCTGGGCACCACGGGTAGAGAATAAACATATTGACATCTTTACTACACCTATAGTTGCACCAGAGGTCAATATCCCTATCATTCAGGCTCGACAGCTGCCGTCAGCAGCAGTTAATAGCTTCTGCGAGACTTATGCTTTAGATCCTACTCAACGCTCACAGCGGTTAAGGGCAACAAGGAAAGCAAAGAAAGCAGCACTTGATGAATGGATTCTCAAGGAACGCTCTGGGGAGGAGACCGGGAAAGGAATAGCCGATGGTGATCCTCACCGAGAGAGCTCTTTTGCCACACCCCTATCCGTACCAGAGGATACCGTCAGGACCAATTCCCAGTGTGTAGACAATTCCGCCACATCCCGATCCATACTAGAGGATACCATCACGACGGATTGCTACTCCGTAGGTACTTGTGTCACATCTCCGTTTCTACCAGCAGACATCCTTACGCTCGATTCTTATTCCATAGATACTTCCGACACTTCTCTATTTATACCAGAGGATACCGTCCCTGCGGTTTCCGACAATGGGGAACCGCATGAAGCTGATGATACTAGCGGTTGTGTTTCAATCTTATCAAGCATAATGGAAAACGAGGAAGCATCTAACGAGGCTCGTGAACACGATACGGAGGCTATGGCGATGGATATGCTGCTTGAAGTTGTCTCTGCAAGCCAGGCCGATCAAGCACCAACCGAAATACCACCCCCTTCTCAGGTTGGACAGCCATCACTTGCGCAGTTTCCAACCTTGACATCACTAGAGTTTGTGCAGCAATTCTCTGCTATTAACGTCATACATAACTATACTATATCTCAACCAACATCCCGTTCTTTCGAAGGACTCTTGTCAAAGGTGAATGGCAACAGTCGGAACAATGCTTCATTGTTCCTTCTGTTTTGCAAATACAGACAAAAAAAAGGCTGCATGTATTCAACGCCACGTAGAGTCATCATGGACGTCCACGAGGAAAGCTGTGCTAAACAGCAATTACAACCCCTGAAGCCCCCTAAGAGAGCGGGCCGAGAGATGTCTACCCTTCTTTGTCCCAAAGAATCTTGCGGCAAAAATTTCAGCACTGCCTCCAATCTACTACGCCACGTTAAAGAGCATGACTGGGTTAATATACCGTGCCCTCACAAATGCAATAACGAAAAATTCTACAGTAGTCGCTCTAAGCTAGATTCCCACATACAAGAGAAACACAAGAACGATTTTAACTCTACATGGTGCCCAGTCCAAGGTTGTAAATCAGCTCGACAGTTCAAGAGTCTGTTTGTGCTGGAAGAACATTTCACTAAGGCGCACGGCAAGATGAGTAGAGAGGAGGTACAGCGTCTCATAGAAGGTACACAGGAACGGGTAGATGACAGCACCGCATTGGATGATGAACGAGGACCAACCGGCCGCGTCGATAGCAGTGATTTTCCAGGGGAGGCACCAAAGATATTTACTAATAGTAGGGGATAAATCATATCGTAGACAATGTAGGAGCAAATATAGTACTTCTGGGAAGGGGAACATCATACAGTAGGTAGTGACAATGTACTTGTGAAATATCCATCCAAATAAGCATCTTCCAAATGAATAGCTCTGAGAGTTATATGGTGAAAAAAGGCATATTTTGGAGGGATGTTGTATGTAACGCCTGTGATTGAGACCACTACCTAGAACTTTTAAACTTGAAGAAAATAAATGCATCAGGAGCATATGCAGAAGAGTCATCCTCCACTAAATAATCCAAAGATGCCATTGCGTCCACTGAACGCGTGGCGTCAAGCCCTGTTCAGTGATATCCATAAACTTGAAAATGTCAAATCCATAATTGTGGCCAGGAGCTTCATTGTCTGCCAATGAAAATGTCAAACCCATAATTTTGACCAAAAGCATCATCCTCCGCCAAATAATCCCATGATGCCATCGTGTTCACTGAATGTATGCTGCCCAGACCTATTCAGTAATATCCATAAACTCGAAAGTGCCAAACCCATACTTATGGCCAGAAGTAGCATTGGCGATTTCCTTGATCTGCCAGTACTACCACCGCTCAAGCACCTGATCCCAGCGTGTATCCGACGTTAGGTTTGAAGGTCTTGTTGGAGCGCGTCATACCAGATGGCTTGCCAGTATATCCGGCGCAATGATTCTTGAACTCGACCTGCTTCTTGCACTGATCGCAGTCGCACTCGTGGTTGATGCCCCATTTCGGAATAGCCACATCTTTGATACGACGCAATCGCATTTTGTTATCCTTCTTGCCCTTGACCTTAAACCAAAGTCCATTCTTGCATGGCTTCACATCCATAGCACCGCCGTACGAGGTGTCCGGGTCTTCGACAGGAATCGTGGGCTGGTTCTTATCAGCAGCGCTGGCAGTCTGCAAGTACATGTCAGTTAACCTTGCAAAACATACTCTGCCAATGTAAAAATACTCACTGCACGCCTGAATATAGTGCAGTACCTTCCCCTGCGCTTGGCAAGATTTTCCTTGTACCCATCAGTTGCAGCCACATCGTTGAGCATCTTCTCCTCGGCTAATGCATCTTCCGGACCCAACTCTGCTACGACATCCTCGCTGTCGTCAACTTCCACAGCTTCTGAATCATCTGAAGCTACGCTCTCATCGTCCAGAATCGCTTCATCAGTCTCATTTGTATCGTGGAGGTCGTGCATGTCGGCATCCAACTCGTCCTGGTCCACGGCAAGCTCGTGATCAGAGACACCTGAGGCATCCTCGCCGATGTATTCTTCCTCCCCAGGCTAGATAGTCTCAGTTGAAATACCCCAACACCAGCCGTGCTGTTTGGTTCAGTTTACTTACATCCGCGCGCTTGGGACGCACTTTCGGCTGAGGCATCCCGACGAGCGTGAGCCAACCTCCAAGGGATACGAATGGCATCGTGATGAAGTGTTGTCTATGTTTCAGAGTGATATAAGATAGAATGAAGCTTCAGGTGGTGGAATGAAAAGAAGAGCAGATGGTGAGCTTGAAGATTGTAAGAAGAAGAAGAAGTAGCTGAGCAGCTAGCGGGGTAGGTTTTATGGAGGTGAGGGTAAAGGCGCAGGCAGCCTTGGAGTTGCAGAGCTGGCGGTGTGGGCTTCGCAGAGGTGAGGGTAAAGGCGCAGGCAGCCTTGGAGTTGTAGAGCTGGCGGTGTGGGCTTCGCAGAGGTGAAGGTAAAGGCGCAGGCAGCCTTGGAGTTGCAGAGCTGGCGGTGTGGGCTTCGCAGAGGTGAGGGTAAAGGTGCAGGCAGCCTTGGAGTTGCAGAGCCGGTGATATGGGCTTTCCAGCGCTGGCGATATGGGCTTTGCAGAGGTGAAGGTAAAGGCAAACGGCTGCCTGACTCTTGGGACCTCCATCCAAACTCAAGGTCTCTGTCAACACTGCACTGACAATTCAATTCATCTCTTGAACACTCACTTTTCCCAATATTTACTAAATATCTACCCCGTGTATCACATCGTTCTCTCATTATGGCCCCAACTCTGGGTTCGACCAAGGATGAAAAGAAGAATGCAGCAAAGGATCCCGCACCTCAGATTAAAGAGCTTTCTTTTACCAACAATGGGCGGGCTTTCAAGCATCCACAGGGCTTTGATGATGGCCCTATCTTCATCAATGCTAGAGGTGCCAACAGTAAGATGTACAAAAGGTTCTTGGCCGTTGAACCTCCCGATAACTATGCCCGATCCCGCGTGACGATTGCCTTGAACGAGAAGGAAAAGCAGGAGCAAGTACCTGAGGGCATGTCTAAATACTTGCTTGTTGGGTGGATACCGCAGAACCCTGACGTCAAAAACACAAAGGTTAAGACAGGGTACGGCGCAATCATCGGTAACACCAGACCGGAGAAAGAGGAGGATATCATTGTATTCGACCCTGCTGATACAGAGCATCTACCTTTGATGGCAGTGGTAGAGACATCCGACGAAGAGTTGAATTCTGTGGCAACGTATGTGTTGCTCCATCAACACAACGACCTTTGCACACCTTATTCAGCAGGGGCTGACGATGTGTACTACATGGCTATGTTCCGGGATAACTCTACTTCAAAACATAATCGCAAAGCCAGTTGGAACCAGAATGTTGTCAAATACGCCACCACTCCGAGCACATCAACCTCAACGACAAAACTGATTACGCATCGGCGTGGACGAGACCAGTCGGCGCTCGTTCTGCCTCCGAACATGTCGTTGAGGAACGAGATGGACTCCTTAGTTGCTAACTACCGCTTGTCACAAGACACTTGGTTTCTGGAGGAGTTGGAGCGTATTCTTGGGGAGATTGACAACGACGTTTCCATGGCGCCGCCGACCAACACAGCACTTCATAAGTTTGCCAACCTCGGATACGCAGAGTCCGAGCAGTATACACCTGAAGATGCTCAGAAACTAGTCGACGAGGTCTGTATCGCATGGCCAGACCTTGTTGTTGAGACCTTGCATGTCTATTTGCTTGGGCAGGCTGTAAAGCTGTTGCCGCTTCCCATTCCGTACAAGGATCTCCAGGCCTACATCCGTGAGGGCCTCTACAGAATCAAGAAAGCAATCTCCAAGGGTCAAATTCAACCTAAAGTACTCGAGACCGCTCCAGATGACAGTGCGCAAGTGGCTCATCTCACCAAAATTGCGGAGAAGACGCACCTCACGGTCGAACGAGTATTGGGTTTCGCCAACTTCAAAGTTCCAGAACCTATATCTTCTGATGGAGCAATCCAGTTGCTTAAAGCTACTAAGAAAAAGCTGGTCGATCTCGTGGAGGGCGACGATGCTTTCGTCAAGATGGTGGCAAAATCTACAGGTGATCAGGCTCTCGCGGTGAACTACCAGGACGTTTGGGCCCATTTCTGCGAGCAATCCGACACTGATGCGGCGCGTGCGGCTTTCACCGACATAGTCAAAATCACCGTTGTCGCTTTGCATCACAAAGAGTCTCATTTGGCGCGCAAACTGAGGCAGATGATCAAGGAGTTGAACAAGGTGGGCTGTTGATCAAAGAGTGGGAGGCTTGGGCAGGCTATTCATGGGACTGAGTTTTCACGGGTGATAAACCAAACGAGATGGATTTGTCTTTTTGTGAAGTTTTCTGGGTTCAGTATGCCTTCATCAAACATGCTTATGAATTGGAAACAAAAGGGTGGGTGTATGCCTGCACTTGCCGGCGTCAAATATTTGGCGATAAGAAATGCAGGTACACAGATTACTTTGAATTTGGCATTGAGTTAATACCTTCTGTGCCATGATCTATGATCTATGCAGTGATTGATCTTGAAGTAGCCGTCGTGATCGGAACCCATCCACCGCACCCCCAAAACCGAATATCTATTATGGTACATGACCATCGTCTTCTCTCAACACCTCACTGACTACTTTGCCAATCTTGACCCCGTCATTCTCTTGACAGTGTTTCCAAGTCTCCACCGCGGCTGTCTCATCTTCCTCGGCCATTTCTTCATCGGACGGAACTTCTCCAAAGTCCGGAGCTCCACTAAGTTCAGGCTGTTCTTTTAACCATGGATCCAAATCTACTCATTGTTAGTATCCAATTACGTATAAAAGTAAAGCTTTCAATGCACTTACTTTGGAACGGCAAATCTTCCCAATCTTCTGGTACCCAAGTTTCTGGCGAGTAAGGATCCGGCGCGGACGGTTGGAGCAGGAGACTGGTGAAAGCTTTCGACAGTTCAACTAGTTTGGCGAGCCATGTCTCGTCGTCCATGGATACTGGATTCTTGCGGAGTTTCAGATGATCATAGAGTTTGCGAATCGCATGCTGGGCTTGAGGATCACTTCGTATTTCAACTCCGGTGACTGTCTGAATGGGTGTAGTTTCTTTTGCTTCGCAGTACAGACGATTGTACCATTCTCCAAAAGCCTCAATGAGGTCTCTGACAGCTTCATCGTGCTTCTGTTGTTCTTTCACAACAGGTCGGCCTCTTTTGCGCTTGGTGTGAATGTCCTTATTTGCTTTTTGGACATCTTTGATTGCGCTGAGCATATCATCAATTTCAAAACGCTCGAGGCTGTTGTCGCTCTTGAACTTTTTCGAGAACATGGTTCACGAGTTGTCGGATTGTGCATGCAGGACTAGAAAGAAAGCCATCGACGTAAATGGTGTTTTTGAGAGAATCTTCTGGAATTCCTGTGGCCTAAAGCACAGTTGCCTAGCCTCACCGCCTTGTCCAAGTGATTTGAGGTGAAGGTGAGTAGACAAACACTGCTTGGCCCCGCCCACTCCAGCCTCTCAATCGCCGCCTCAACAATATCTATTTCGGAAACAATAGCCACCGCCCGAGGCTCGATATCACGCACAAGTCTCATACATCTGTCGCTGATTATGGCGACTCCATCCAAAAAGAACAAGAAGAATCCCATTGATGAAGCGTTGTCTGCCATCGGCAACTTGACATCTTCTTACCAACCACCCTCGGAAGAAGAGTACGCAGAATTCATCAAGCGTATGCTCATTGGAATTAAACCCGGTAAAGGTATCATTGGAACAGAAGAAGAAGAACGCCAGCTCGAAGAGAATCAGAGTCAAGGAGAAGGAAGTAAGTCTGCAGAACAACAGAAGACTGGCAGTGACGCTTCCCATGAAAGCCAGGCTGATCATCCAAACGAAGGTGTCGACGGAACAGCTCCTGCCGACGAAGAGCTCATCGACGAGGCGGACGATGAAGGTAGTGAAGCAAGTGGCAACAGCAGTGACAACCGCTCGGACTTCGAAGCAGACGGTGACGATACTGAAAGTGGAGGGCGAGATACAGTCAACGTACCTGGAATAGAGCATCCAATTCCAGTGACTCAGTACTTTGGTAATCAGTGGGTAGAGCACATTGTAAGCAACTCTTCCCAACCTTGCACTGAACATGCACTGATTATGCGCAGACCAACCTTCATTCAGTCGAGCCCTTGCCTGTGGATCTCCATATGCCCACAACACCACATGACTATCAGCGCAAAGGCGCAGCTCAGATCGATTATCTATGCAAGTCAGTCTTTCGAGGTTGCTTGATCGGTGATCCTATGGGTCTTGGGAAGACCCTACAGGCGATCATGAGCATGAAACTTATTAAACACGAGCCTGGAATCATAGCTGTCTTTTGCCCAGCCAATCTATGCATACAGTGGGTAAAAGCTATCGAAGGGGCTTTCGACGAGGTAAGTGAAGATCGCCAGCGCTAGTTGTTTTACTTTCTCTCTGACCAGGATACATAGGGGCACGGGCTATCCGCTTTTCTTCTAAACGACTCTTCGGTTTCGGCTCACAGCATTCTAGCTAATCGTTTTGACGCTGTGGTGTGCTCTTTCGAGTTTGCGGATGCAAACATGAGCAAGAAAACCAAGTTCGAAAACAAGATTGAGGTAGCAGCCAAGAATCCGAAGGGTACGCTGCTGAATCGACCTACAGTAGCCATTGCTACTGGGATGTGGGCGCTCCTCGGCCTCCCTATCAAGCGCGGGTACATTGACGAGGCTCAAATGGTCAACAAGAGAACTGGGAAAAGACATCAGTCTCTGATGAAGTTGCCAGTCTCGTCGTGGTGCATAATGTCAGGCACCCTAGCTCATAACAAATGGTACGATATAAGCGGCTATCTCGACTTTATCAAAGGCCATCCGTACACCACCGATCGTGAGTTCCTAGCTCAATTCAAAACTCCCAGCTATACTCCAAACGCAGCCCCGGATATATCAGGAGCACAGCTCTATCTCCTTCAGCGATTCCTCCAGGCATTCATCGTAATGCGTCCACGAGATGTGTTGCGACTTCCTCCATGCCACAGACTTTCTTTTGGAGTCAAAGTGGGTGAAACTCAAGAATCGGTGATTCTGGAATGGACAGAAGTTTACAAGAAAGCCTGCGTAATGGACAAGAAATCCGCTGATTTCAAGCAAAACAAAAACAAAGAGATTAGTGCATTGGGAGCTGCCATTCGATGCCAACTGCACGGCCTACATCCCCGCCTTGCACCGGCTTCAAAGACTATCAAGTTCAACCTTGAAGCAGAAGACGTTGCCAACTCAACCGCTGAGGGTTTGAACCAAACCTACAGCCCTGATGAGGCTAGTCAACAAGAAAAAAGAAGGCAGTGGATCAAAGATTTGAACACATGGACACTAGACATGTTCGATGAGTCTCCTCATCTCACTACCGTCACGGAGTTTCTAAACTTCATGGTCAACAATCATCCAGACCAAAAGATTGTGGTGATGTCACAGTATCTCAAGTACCTCGACATCATCAATTTGTGCATGTCGAAGAGGTTCAAGGTCGCTTGTCTACGCTATGACGGTACAGTCAATCAGGTTCAACGTATCGAAGTGCAGAAGAAATTCGCCAAGCCTGAATCAGCGCGACCGCTTTTGATGACTGTGGGAGCAGGAAGTGTAGGTCTCAACCTGACTAGTGGTAAGATCGTGGTTATCCTGGAACAGTGGTGGAACATCTCGGTTGAGAATCAGGGCATCTCGCGCTGTCACAGGCAGGGCGCAGAGGACAAAGTGATTGTAGCAAAGTTCACGGTTCAAAACTCATGTATGGAGCACGAGATAGCACGTGTGAGGCACTCAAAAGCGCAGATCAACAACTCGCTGATGAAGCCTCTTGTTCACAAACATGATGAGAAGCCAGAGATTGCAGAGCTGATCTACTAGCTTCATATCATGTACTTAGTTTCGATGGGAGACTGGGCAAAGCCAATGTTCACTGGCGTTTCGAAGGGGGCGCTACCTCTTTTATAGCTATGAATCTATCGAGTAATCTCTTACTAAAGGTTGTGAATTTCCCTCCCTCCGCCAATTTACGGAAGTATTTGCACGTGCGCACTTGTGTGAACTTGGTTAACGCAGTACTCTTCTTTTTCCCTCGTCACCCACTCCAACATCACGAATACCACACGCTACCGGGCAAAACTACTTGGAACACTTCCCTGAGTCGATTCCATGTGAGGCTACGTCCTTACAGTGTTTTCGAAGTCCTAGATGATGGCAAACTCGACAACAATGACAACATAACCGCCATCCCTTTACCAACTATCTTTCCCGCCCCTAAGGTCACTACCCAAGTATTTGAAGATAGATAGTAAACAATAAATAATCTCTGAAACGTGACTACGGTCACATTCAAGATTATTCTTATTTTGTAATCAGTGGACGGCTCCCTGGGCTTGCTCATAGCCGTCCTCACAGTGTCGTCCGTATCGCACTACCTCGGACTGACGCGAATTTTTTCATTGAGCCTTCTGACTACAATCAGTTGCTCGAGGAAGATGACGATTCACGATCTGTTTTGCGCCCCTTCCCCCATTGTCCTGGTGTTTCCATTACAGATAACAATACATTTTCAATACCTCACATTACCAGCCTCGTATTTCTAAACAAAATCCTCCGTCCCGCCTCACATCCCTAGGCCGCGTCACCTTCGTGTACGTGTCGCCACTTCATTGGGTTGTTATTATGTTGTCTTATCTGCCGTGCCATTATATCACACCACTACCATCGTCAAAACTTTCTAGCAAAATCGCCGCAACCTCTGTTACTTCTGGAGATATGGTCTCAATGAACCCTCAGGAACCTTTACATCAGCAATCTCTACCGCAGCTTAGATTCACCAGCGAGCACTAGAAGGATACGAGAAGGCGCTTAAGCCAGGCCGCACATCAACGCTAGATACAGTAACACCATTGGCAGCGTTAGCACCTCAGTCGCAGGCTTTCCGCTAAGCTGTCGCGTAATCTCGATAGTATCGATCGAATCGTAGAATTCGCGAGTCACTCCATTCAGTCGAATTCGGTGAAGCTGCTGATAGGTACTAATGAGCTCTCGTTTCTTCCTCTCATACTTGTTATATAGGCGGGTCCCTTTACTAACAGTGAGTGGATAGAAGCCTTCACCCTTGAGCATCTTTTTGTACTTTTCCCGCTTTTTGCGAAGCGCAACAAGAACAGGATCGTTGCGTACCTGCTTTTGCTGGTCGTCGTTAAGTTCAGTCGGTACGCGGCGGTCTCACAGGCCCATGCTCGCAACGGACCGGATCAGTTCCTCTTCGGAAGGCGTCCCAACATAAATCGCCTAGAATTCACGTGCAATATGCGTCGGCGTGTAATACTTCTTGTACGTGCTTCCAAGGTGGCCCATAGTCTAGTTACGATCTACCGCATCAAGAGCGCCTAGCGGGTGGTTAGCCTTTGAGATGGTCCGTCGCGCGCACGGACACGGTAGTACTATGCAATGCACGGCAGGCAGTGAAGCGGAATCAGAGGTACGACTATCTCCACCAATCAATTAACCCTCCCCCCCCCCATCCGCGAGCTGACTTTGTTCAGCAGGTCCATTTGTTTTTGCTTACTCACCAGCCCAAGGTCCGTCTTGTGCGGAAATTACTAAAGTAAGTATGGATGGTTTGGGCGGGCGATGGGATTATGGCTTTTGTTATTGGGGGCTTGGATCAATAGTCAATAGTGTATAGGTAGATTGTGGTGTCGCTGGATTAGGTGTTCAGCTGTGCAGCGAGGCAGAATAAACTGTGCTTTGGAATATACTGAATTTGTTAGAGGTTATGGACATAGGAGGGGAGGTATAATTGGTCAGCTAGCTGTTATCTCCTTACTCCGACACTCTACATACCTGCGGCCTGCTTCATAAGATTACATCAAGGGTAATTAGCTTCAGTCCTACATTATATTGGCCCGGAAGCAGTCGGAAGCAGTCAGAAGCAGTCAGAAGTGCAATTGCTCATCCGTCCAGCAAGGCACCGTTCCTCCGGAGCCCAGTTCCTACCTTTAACCCACTATTTTCCCCCCTCCACGCGACCCTTGCTTCAATGTGATCATAAGCAGAATACTCCCAGGTCACTGATATATAAACCATCCATTCGGCCCTATCTAAAACCACATCTCTAGAGCTTCGCATTCACAAGTCCTTCAACGAAAAATATAAACATAGTACATTATTTCTATCTCACGCAAATATGGCAGACGGCTTCGCAGCAGCAGACAAGTCCAAACCATTCATCGCAAATAACAGCCTTGCCAAAGACCGGGGTTATAAAGATGGACTCCCAACAGCAACTTGTCTCTGCGGCGGCGTGCAATTAGCCTTCGTAAGCCCACCCTACTTCCCTCTCCTCTCACTCACATACTTCAACCCGCATCACTCTACTCACTAACCCGCCCATCAGCCCGTCGAAGGGCCCGGCCTAATCAATACCTTCGTCTGCAACTGCACTGACTGCCGCAAACTCACCGCCTCCATGTTCGCATCCAACTTCGCCATTGACGACAAGTACCTAGTGCACGTGCGCGGCCGCGACAATCTCAAGTCGTGGTATAATCCCGTTACGCCCGTGCGCCACGAGGGCTCCATGACAGACTACTTCTGCAGCACGTGCGGGACCCTCATGTACCGCGTCAGCTCGGCGTTTCCCAAGGTACCTATTTTGCGGATTGGCTCCGTGGACGATTTGAGTTTGCATGAGACAAAGCTGAAGCCGCAGTGGGAGCAGTTTACCAAGGATCGCGTGAGCTGGTTTGGGGGTGTTAGTGGGGGTGATGTTAGGAAGATTGAGGGCAATTCAAAGACGTATACGCTTTCTGGGGGATAGGTACGTATGGTTGTTTGGTAGTGTTGGCGAGGCGTAGAAGAAGTGGTGGTGGACATTGACTGTGAGTACAGTACCAGAAGATGCTGCTTGGTTGTGTTTTGTATATTTGTTCTAATACACACATTATTCAACATTCTATGTCTTTGATGTATTTTGTAAGCTCAGTAAACCAGACTTTGGCACTCCCAAGTAAACACCCACAAACAAAAAACCTTCTATCCAACCCATTCCCCTCCCCTGCGCGATCCGTGAAAACCCCCTCGCGGGCGACGTACGAAAAACACCTTGGATTATCAGGCCACACTGTATATCAGGATTTTTTTCCAGCAATCCGCAACATACTATAATTGATCCAGACATACTGCTCACAGTATTCATCGATTAATAATGAAGGGAGGCATCAGCATATCGTTGTGGAATAGCGACAGAATGGATTGGGGACTAATCATTACGATGGGAAAAGCGTTAACAGCACTTATATACAAGTTTTTTGTTTGAGATTGACAAGGAGTAGGATGCAAGTAATAAACACACCTACACAGCTTTCTAAACGCTATTGCAAATTGGTAAACACAGCCAACATTAGCTCTTCAGCTTTAGGTAGCTAATAGCAGCCAGATCAGTACGCTTTTGTCGATGTACCTATAAAAGCTAGTGTTAGGCAGATGTTAAGGCTTGCTTTTAGGCGCAAATTATATTATAGTTATCTGCATGCATTAGTCTAAGAAATTGAGCAAGGAAAAGTGCATAAAGGATACTCGAGGAAGAAGTAATGCAACACATTAATGCCACACCATGTAGCCCTCTGATGCCTAGCTTTGCTTAAATTAAGTCAGAATTTTCCGTTTTGTATCAGGCTCTCGAGTTTCCCTACTCTAATTTAACACTACCTTGATATAACAATGTCTGCATTAAAGCTCTAATCAAGATACTAGTTAGGCACGGGTACTCTGGCAAAAAACAGTCAGCTAATCTCTATAATGGCCAAAGCTGCTTACGTACGGGTATTGTTTCTCATGTCTCTCCTTATGACAGCCATCGAGGCGCGGCTCAAGTGGCACACAATCTTTCAAAAGACAATGCAGTTGTAGCTGCCACACTACAATCGCTTGAGATGGTTCGACGTGGATTAGTGCACGATAATTGGTCAGAATTCGCAAATATTACACAAGGATACGTAAGAAAACCTATGATCGATCTCTGTTGTGGCACGCAGTGACTTCGAATTACAAATGCCGGTGCTGAGCGTCGAAATCCATTATGTGAAGAGCTGTTCAGATAATGACTACTCCATTGATAAATGTTTGTAGTCGGCGCACTAGGCGTGGTTGAGCGATCATGGACTGAAGCTTGAGTTCTTCGGGTGCGCAGTATATTTACCTCTCGACTCCATTCTCCCTCAGTTATCACCATGATGTTCCTTAGAGAACATCAGAATACCATAAGATGTATTCAATCAAATGGAAATATATGTATTCGTGTAAAAACCCCGCAAAGTATACTAAACGCCGTTATCCCAGGTCCGTTTTTTTCTCGAACCCAGTGCGCGGTTCGTTGAACCAGCTACACTTGCACTTGCATTCCTTTTCAAGAAACCTGTACACCGCTCTGTTGACCGCGATTATTGCATCCACAACCCTATTGTCCTTGCAGAGCGTATTCAGAGGAGGACAGCCAGGCAGAAACGGATCTTCATCAATATGTCCAACCGGTTCAGGAAGTGTGTCATTTGTCGAGGGATCGTAACAGTCATCTATGACGTCAAGCATAGACTGGAGCCGCTGGTCGACGGCTGGTATGATCATTTGTATGTCGAGGGGTGCCAAAGTCCATCGATCCAGGCGACACGCGTCGTGCTGGCTCGAATTATTTCGGGTGCCGTTGAGATAACACATTTGAAGATTCTCGAGCTCCCGTGACTGCTGTTCGAATGCGGGGGCGAGCTGGAAGAAGTTGAAGGGGAAAAACGATAGGAGGCGCGAGACTAATGTCAATACTCCCATGAAGATGAAGAGCGATGCAAGGTAGAACAGGACAAATCGCACACCAAGATCGTCCCTCTCGTACTCATCCCATGGCTACTTGACCTCTCGTAAGGCTCGGAATCGAGGCAACGACCACCGCTTAATCTTCAACGTCCCTTTTTCTAGGGCAACAAGTATCTTTTCAGATGGCTTTGCGCTACGACTGACGCTGCTCAATACCGCAGGAGCGACACCAGGTCCGAGCCGTCCAAGAAATGTTCCGCGATGCCCGTACCCGTCTGGATTCTTGCCTTCAAATATCAGCCTGGCTAGATGCAATGGTGTTTGCCATATGTTATTTGCCATTTGTATGTCTGCACCTCCCGCAATGAGGCTTTGAACTATATCATATTCTCCGTGATGAACTGCCCGGTGCAAAACCGTCTCTCTTCTGCGCAGATATTCGATACGCATACGGCCAGTAAGCAAGTACTGATAATAGGGGAAGTTGCAATATTTCGGCCCTCGGAAATGCCACAGCAAATTATTGAAGTTTTGCCTAGCGTGGATCTTGTAGTTGCTGTACAACACGACTGAGAACACAAGCTCAAGTGCTGTCAGATATGGGTGCCCGTCTCTGTTGTGTGCTTGAGCATCAGGGTTGGACCGTAGCAGGAACGAACCATAGTCTAGTGTATGGCGCAAACGATGACCTAGTCCAAATACGTTGTTGTCCAAGACGCGGTCGGCTCTGTAGCGAACCACAGCAGCCGATTGCTCACCTTCACTATTAAATTTGAAAGAGGCTAGGAGACTTGGTGTCCAAGAAATGATAGGATCATGATCTACATCGTTTTCAAACAAAGGCATCTCGCCCAAGATGCTTTGCTTCCAATAGCTAGTCTTCTCCTTGGCGTCCTCCCACCATGCTTGCTCATTTTGCAGTAGGTACTGCAAGGGCTTTGATATGCTGGTTGGATGAGGAGACCTTCTGGTAGCCTCGACAATGGGATCTTCCCTTGTGAGCGACAGCCATGTGCTCAACGTATAAGGGTCCTGGGCCGGATACTCGATGATAAAGGCCAGGAACCGACTCTTTTCAAGTCCTGCTAGTGGATTCTCCAACTTATGGTCCACATATGTCTGCACAAGAACAGTGTTGCCGCAGATTACGGCTAATTGAAATGGGGTCAGTCGTGGTCGTGAGTCTCAAGGTCCCATTCGCCTCAGCGGTAACTTGACGTTATGATCTCGCGCTCTTTTCAAGATGATATCTAGAATGGCCATCGCAGTTTCCATGGGAAGGAAGGCAAGCTCATGGAAGATCGTCAAGCCATCTGGTGAGACAAGTTCGAGAGCTTTTTCAAAGTGTTTCTTTTAGAGGCTTTTACACATCAACGCAAATAGATCGGCATTGCTGCAATACATGGCACGACGGTAAGCCGACCACTGATTTGAACCCGTAGGACCGGGAATAACATTCGTGTCTTGTATCTCCCGGTTCCAATCCCAGAAAGCGCTTATGGTATGTGAGTTGAGTTTGTTTGACCGTAGTGCGTGGTATACAACAGATTCGCCGCTCTCCGTGGCGATATTGAGCTTTTTGAGATCGTGAAGTTTGTCTCGAAAAATTTTCATGATTCGCTCCGAGAGATCTTGATTGCCCTCGCTAATCAATAATCGGTCGAGCGCATGGATGTCTGCAACTGCACATGCTAATGGTGACCGACCAGAATGGTCATATCGCATCAGCGCTTCGGTAGAGATGTCTGCAAGTAATATAGCAAGAATTTTACAATCATGTCGTGATGCAGCTCGATGTAGAGCAGGCCAGCCAGAGTCTGAGACGCTCAGATATGATCCAAGGTGGAGGAGATACCGTACTGCAGCAATGTTTCGGGCATCTACAGCCCATTCGAGGGGTGTGCCTGGCCTGGCTCCTGCCACAGAGCTAAATTTGGTAGCCACAGCGACAATGGAGACTAGATCTGCCAAACAGTGCCTGATCAGGAGGGCATTGTCCTCAAGAATAACAACCATACCGTCTAGAGATGATCCCTTCGAAGTTGACAGCGCGTGCAAGATTGTACGGTTTTTTTGGTCAGTGACACTAGGATCAGCGCCCTCTTATAATAGCGTTTGGAAAATCTCATGCTGCTCTTGCAGAATCGCGCACACCAGTACGCTCTCCTGCTGTTCATTTTTCTGGTCAATGCTAAAGTCAGGCGTACCCAGGCACGCCTTTACACCCTCTAATTCGCCGTGAGCCACAGCAGCTTGTATTGGAGCGTCCGCGCCCACTTTGCGCTTTCCCTTCAAGCCAATCTTCACTTGTCTTGTACTCAAATCACTGGCTTGGCGCTGTTTAACGAACTTTTGAGAATGTGAAGCTAGATTGTCACCGTCAGATTTGTATTCATCCCACGTATCGACGAGATCGCCCTTGGCGTCTCTAGCAATCTTTACCAGCCTCTTTTAGAGACCATGGGCTTTGATATGTCCCAAAAGTTTGCTCGTGCGCATATGTTGAACGGCCAAGTACAAATTTCGTTTGCACCCGAATCCCGTGGCATAACAGACGCCCAGTTGGAACTCGGTTGCTGCCGGCGAAACATTGCTTGGTGGCTTACTGAGAATCCGAGGATCTCGATACCTACTGCATGTAGGCGAGTGTTGGGACCAAAATTTGACGTCAGCCATTCCATGTCGAATTCTTCGTGCCCATAGTTATGGCAAGTGCCGCTTTCGAGAGGCTTGGCAGTTCCTTGTTGCAGGGCTCCGTACAACCCTCTAGCCGATGGTCTAAGATGCGGTTGAAGACTTAGACATTCGCGAATAGACGTGTTCGTGGAACGACTTGGCGTCCATGCCTGGCTTCCAAACAGTGCGAATTTGTTTCCAGAGTCCTATTTCGATGAGGATCATACCAAGACTATACACATCGTAAGAGCGATGGAACTTTTGTGCTGGCTTCGGCATCTGATAATCAGGATGCCTATAAAGATTGGAGGTGGTGCTGACGTCGTACTCGGAGACTTCACGTGGGTTTTCTGGTCGGGAGAGCGTGAAGCCGCTCAAAAAGGGCTCCTCAATGTTCGCCTGACCCTCAGCATGGAAGCATACAATACTCTCACTTTTGATTTCACGATGCAGCCAGCCAGCAAAGTGCATGTATGCAACCGAGTTCGCCAAGCGTGCTGCTAGCGCTGCTCTAATTTGAAACACTGAGCAACCGTATTCTGTCGATCCATGCGGAGAAGGTCATGCAAGAGCGAAAATCGGAGTTGGGGCTCATTTGCGAGCCGATTCGGTAGAGCAAAGACCAGACCGTATTGCTCAATGGATCCCACGTCGTGACGCACGATGCCCTTGCAGTCTAGTATGCGGTACTGGTTTGGCTTGGGCGTGATACGGAGGTCTACCAAGTTGGCCAGTCGCTGGGATCGCATGATTCTTTGCTCGTCTAGATCTTCGGGTCCATGAAGCGTTTTGTATTCAATGAGAACATTCGCCTGAACTGGACCTTGCTCGAATCTCAACACGCGGGTCACATTGTGCTCGGCTGGCTGGTTGTTGTGAAAATGCAATGTCATTTTCTCTAGCAAGGCTTCTGTGTCGACTGGTTTACGATCTTCCAAGAGTTTCATCTCTTGTATGTCTTGTTCTAGCGCCTTTCTCTTGAGTACGGCTGCGTTGTAATAATTCATATCACGACCGGACGTGGCGATTATGCTTTCGATGTTGCGCAGCTCCAACACATTGCCTAGTTAACCAGCTACCAGCTCTCTTCCGAATAGGGACTGCTTTACCCGTGGCAGTGACTTTTCCAGGCCGTTGTTCATTTCCTGCATTTGAGTTACGAGGTCTTGAAATTGGGTCTTGTCTTTAATTGCCCAAATGAACTTATCCATGTAGCTAAGTCTCCTCTGATACATTTGCAGGATATCTTCAAGCTGAGTCTGCGACTCTTTATTGAAGAAGTTCGGAATGATCACAATCTTGTTACCAGTGTCGGCGTCATCGATGTCCTCTCTATTAGGCCTTGAGAATATGCCTTTCAGGCGCGCACGTTCGCTTTTCTGAATCCCATAATTGGTAGTGAGCTCATTTAATCGAGTCACTGTGTTGCAGACATAACATAGAGTTTGCATAGTCAAGTCGTACATTAGCTTGTCATTCTGCAACTTCTCCTCGAACTTTGTTTTAGCATCCGTCAAACTAACAAACTTAGCCCATTGTTCAAACCTAGTTACTTTCGCATGATGCAAATACTCCGAAGGTTAGAGACAAGTTCGGTCCGCACTTTATATATTCGAACATTATTAAGATCTGCAGCCTGGAAGCAGCTTCGCTCGTTGCCTTCGCCGCAGTTACAATGTCATATCCGGCTTTAGCAGCTACATAGAACTGAAAAGCAAATTTAGTGACTCCTATTGCAAGGCCTAGCCAAAAGTGAGAGGTCGATTGCGGAGCACGTAGTACTTAGGGCTTACTCGCAGGATCTATGTTATGGTAACTTGAGGTGGTTGCTTGATGGTGGTTCTTTTGCGTTAACACTAACTGTGATCTAAGAGCCGGGAGCTAGATGATATACGTGCTATTTGAGCAAGTGTAGAGTGTGTGAGATGCAGGGTAGTGGGTGCATGAACTATAAGCAGACCAGGCTAAGCATTTTGGCGCAGCAACGCATCCTACCGGTGAGTTATTCTAGATTGACTAGTAGTTCGTGCTAGCTGTACTGTGGCGGAGTAGCCAGCGTCTCGGACTAGCTAACGCCCCGAGCGCCCTACTACTACTATGCTTGTGATAGCTGTCAAGACTTACGCCAACTCGCTCCGCCGTAACCACTTCTAGTATGCTTAGTTAGCGCGCCGTATTCAAACCTCTCTATCGATAGATGTGCTCTGTGGGGATTCGTTTCATGAACAATAGGGGCTTGTAATTAAGTAGGGTTTTTTGCTTTTGCTTGAGCTGTAAACATTGAAGAAAGAGGTGCTGTTCCTGTAGATCAATCGTCTTCTGCAGCCCAGTCTCTTCCTTCTAGGCACACCGCAACCAATTGTTTTAGCGTCACTTGTCAAACAGCAATGGCATCCAGTCTCCAACAACTCCAGACCCGACCTATCCACATCATTCGTCAAGGGCCGAGACGTCATGGCTCCCTGCGCCTCCCACGAGCCTGCAGAAACCTCTAAAAAGCGCAATGAAGAGCCGGTGCCTCTCGCATCGAAACCTCGAAAGGAATACCACCACATCCTGAAAAGTCTCATAAATCTTGTCATCCTACCCGGTGCACCATGGGGCTTCGTCGTAGTCCGACGCCCTCCTACGCAGATGTGCACACATTGCGGCGTGTGTTTTGTACCTGGGTTGCTGGATTTAACCCCACGACTCTGTAATGCAGACAAGTTGGGTAAGGCCACGCAGATTGTGCTAGGCTAGTTATCAACATCCTGGAGCGCATGGCACATCATTTGCCTCCGCGATACAATTTTTGTGTATTCGTGGACGAGGAATATTTGCGCTCGCTCGATTCGAAGTTTCCAGCTCTCAAAGTTCTGGCTAGGAATTGGGACGATGAAGAGTCGGAGGAAGGGTCAGAGGATGAGGATGACAATGAGAATGAAGATCAAGAAGAGATTGGGTGGATATACATGGATGGGGCCATTTACCTGCCTATGTTGGCATGTATTCTCTCTTGACTGATTTGTACGCTTGGGATGACTTTCATCAACGACCTTCTAAAGGTTATTCGAATTAGTAATTCAGACCATACGCGCCTCTTAATCTTACATTAGAATATTCGGTTGTTTGTAGACGTAAAAGGGCTGATGCTACTATATTATGGGCACAGCTTAAGCAAATGTTTGAACGAGAGCCGGGTCCGTCAAGGTAAGTCTCAATATGCATATATGCCTATCCGTTTTGATTATCGTTTTTATGCTTATTGGGCTAGAACACATGTGCTAAGAAATCGTAGCCTTCCTATGCTCACCATTCTACCTCCATCAATGGTGTCTGCGTGCCAGGCATCTCGATGGCCTTCAATCTTCTGAGCAAAGCATGGTTAAATTCCTCCAAAAAACCCCCTTCATGAAGCGTTGTGACCATATGCAAGATGGAATGCAAGACGATATAACGTGAGGTATCCCAGTTAAGCGGATTGGATATAAAATCGCTCTCAACAACATCCAGCGACTTGATCACCTGTTTCAGATGATCGCTGATGCGCCCATATTGATCCAGGAGGATCTTAGTTTGATCTTTGAACTGCGATGCTTGCCTCTCGCTCGCGGAACAGTGGCTGATGGCTTCACTAAGTTCTCGAAGAGCTGTATCTAGCTGTGACATTTCTTGTTCGAGGACAACTTTTTGTGACTCATTGTCCTTGATTTCAGACTCGGAGGCAGATTGCAGGGCTCTATATTCTGAAGCTTTATTCCCATGCACACTGTAATGCTGTAAGTGACGAGGAAACGTATACTAGGTCTAAGACATCGTACCTTGATCCGATCAAGGCAATGGGAATTGTAATGAGATTGATTCCTGGAATGAACCAGGTACATTTCCCCACCTTCCGATCATTAGAACTCTCCACGATAATTTCTGGATATACTAACATTGTCGAAATGTGAAGCTTCCTGATCGTGATGACCAGCTTGAGTACTCATCTGATTTGAAAGAATTCTGTTCCTTTCAATACTTTCCGTCGCTTCTCGGATTCTGGTATTGACATTGGAAAGACTTTTGTCTTTGTTTGACCTTTCGTCTGATATCTGCTGTAGAATGGTGGAACAATCAACGCTTTGAACAGCCAATCTCGATGCTAGATCGGCTGCCTTATACGCATCACCTTTCCCTGACTGTTCCGAGCTTCTCAGTGCGTTATCGATTATTCTTATCTCCGAGATTTTGTTTTCAAGTGTACTCAACGTCGCTTCGGTGGGTTGCAGAGATAGGGGTGAGAGAAGCCCATTCTTAAGAATCGTTACGAGGCTCGTCTTGGAGGCCTTAGATGACAGAGAATCTTTGTTAGAACCGCCGTGTGCCTTGTATGAATCTTAGAGTGCTCACCGGATGTTCATTGAGCAAGAGAGTATCGACTGCTTCGGGAAGGCACCGGATGACCAAGTTGAGTGAGGCAACATGTGTATTCAACTGCTGCTCCAACTCTGCTCGTCGAGTGTCCAAATGTTTGAGCTCCCTGAAGAGCCCCTCGTTCGATTCAAGCAAGCCGGGGACTTTGCTCAACAAAGATGAATGAGTCGCCATAGAAGTCAACGGAGTAGTGGAAGAGGGCTCAGTACATTGCTAAGGCTTTGTGTACGGATGAACATGATGTGAACAGTAGGTACACACGCAACGTTCCAGTAGTCTACGATGGGCTTGCGGTGGCGTCCAGCCACTAGGCATTTGTTGCGGCGATACGCCATTATTGGTATCAGCCAAGGCAGACATCTCAGCCTTCAGGCAGATTCGTGAGTACCCTATCAAGAATCCTCCGTTGCTTTTTGCTGCGGCGAAGTGATGTTCTCGCGTCGCAGCTGAGACAAGAGTCTTCCCGAGTATGCAGGCAGATTTCCGAATCTCCAATCAGACAGTTTGCTTTTGGTCATGTAGCCGCCGAATGCATTTGTTGAGTTTCAGCTAAGGTGGTGGCTTTACTAAGCCTCTTGGCTAGTCCAGAATTCGCGACCAAATAAACTTTTTTCCTTTTTGGGCAGAGTCTAGATCGAATCTCTCCATAGGAAAATTATCGCTGCATTGACAGCAGAAAGTCGCTACCACCACCGTTTTGCAGATGGGATATCTCAAAGACAGCGTCCACCTCGACCTCGTCGCTTTGAGTGTTGGTAATTAAGTTGCACACCTGCTGATTTTTCTGCATAATCCATTTTGTCACAAAGTTACCAAAACAGATATGGATGGCGAAGGGCCAAGCCCCAAAAATGAGGTCGCGCAGAGGAGAGCGGCGGCGGCTCAGCTCCAACAGGATATCAGACTGAGCCTTGGACAGACACAAAGCTTGCCAGACATGCTCATGTCTGCGCCGTTGGCTATTAACCTGCTTGGGAACATCAAATTGCTTGCTTTCACAGACCATGCCCTACGCATACGGTTGACCGAGCCTCATAAGGGATTTCAACATCTCCGGTAAGTCTACGGGAAAACATGTAGGAGAAACTCAGCTGAACTTTTGATAGCTATCCAAGTCTATCGAGCGGCATGGTACAGATAGTCGATCTTGCATCCGATGCCTTCAACTGTGCTAGCAGAAATATGACGGCAATCAGGTTGCAGACCAATGTCATGTTTGGCACGAGTGGCCATGTCAGTGAACACGTCCACATTCAAAATCAATCGAGGACTAACCTCTGCAGGTTCAAGCAATCATGATGTCCCTACAGAACCCTAAGCTGGCCAAAGCGACGCTAATGGGCAATATGAAGAAGTTCGAAGGTGAAATGCACTGTTGTGCCCAAAGGACCCGAGAGATTGAATCTGCTTTCGACAAAATGATTAGTTGCGCAAGGGAATTGAACGAAGCCATGGCGAACGATTTGAGTAAGATCTAGGGAGTAGCACGATAACGCATTATGCTGACTCATGACAGCCAACGCAAAAAAGGAGCAAGACCTTATAGAGTTCGACATACGGAAAGCGAAAGCAGAGAAGGAGATAAAACAACAAGCTGTAGATGTTCTACGGAGTCGAGCTGAAGAATCCCGGAAAGAAATGGAACAAGCCCGAGAGATCTTTCAGAAAACGGCAAAGAAAGGAGGTTAGAGAGCCGAACCCTGATGTCTGTGATGGCAATACTGAGATTTTACTAGAATGGTCCGCTCTTGCACTTGGAGCTGTCTCAGATATTCAAGGCGCCGCCACAGGCATCCTCCATGCCGCGATCGGTATCGTGAAGGAGACGCCAAAGCTGGCAACAGAGGTTGTACGAACGGCTGGCCACACATTTGGTCATGTTGTTGGCAAAGGACACGTAAACATCACATACGCTGAGAACAATGGGTCAGCCACACCGACGCCGAAGAAAGAATTCGACGTTGGCATCGACCCTGCACTTCTAGCTGCAGAGCAGATAGAGGGACAATTGCTCCGCCTCCAGGACCTTCTGCGGGAAGATCTGGTTAGCATACTCCAGGACGGAGGATCCGATATCATAGCATGCTCGAAACAACTCCGAACTCTGAAGAATGGCTTGAGAGACTTCAAAAGTAGGCACACCGTTAATGCAAACAGTATCCTTGAAGGTGGAATCGACATAATGTCGGCAATCATGAAAGACAAAGATTCAGTCGATTCACAGACTAGAGCGAGTCCGGAGTGGCAGGCTAAAGTGCAGCGCTGGCAAAACACTTTGAACACTCTGCTTGTTAGTACGATCAAACTAAGATCGTTCGCAGCAGCTCGACCAGGCCAAGGCTTCGGTAGTACACTGGATCAGCCTCTTGTTGACCTCGGCTCCAAGAACTCGGGTTACACCAAAGTTTTGAAGGCTCGTCACGAGAAGCTGCTCATAATGAGAACTGCGATGAAGGATGCCCAAGAGAATCTCGCGAGATCAACAGAAATGCAACTTGCGGCCCAGGCTAAAGTGATCGAGTTTGTAAGAGTGATGGACGACTTGGATAACAAAACTGTGACGATCGATCAGACAAAGAGCATCCTTCGACAATCCATTGACTCCATGACCAGCATGCAGGACCAAATCAAGACGCTTGCTGGCTTTTTCGAAATGCTGGCAGATATCATCTCCATCGTAGGCGCCTCCCAAGCACAACAGTTCCTGGACACGATTAGAGCCGGTGTAACTGAGAGCGCCGATAGTATCGAGATGGGATTCCATCAATCTCAGATCAACATGATTCGCGAAACTATGCTGACACTCCGAGGACATTTCAGTTTTGTAATCACATCGGCTGATCTTTACCAAAAGATTGCAACAAACCACATCAATCCATGCCTACGCATGGCGGCGCTACTGCCCTTGAGCGCTAGTGTAGCCGAACAAAGCGATGCAAAGAGAAAATTGCGAGAGGCAACAGACGAAAGTGCTGAAGCCATCAAGGCACTTGCAGAAGAAGAGATGAACAAGTATCACCAGCAGCTTCAGACTCGATGTAATGAAATAGAAGCGGATATTGGGGAGTTACCACAGCTAGAGGATGAACTGGGAACAATCTCTGCCATTACGATTGGTGTAAAGGAGGCTAGCGAGGAGATTATTGGTGAGGTCGCCGAGAAGTGTGAGATGGATTTGGAGATTGTGGATGATTTGTAGACTTGTGCAACGACAGAACATATTCGTGTATGCATTAACATGTCCAATGGTACTTGTGGAAGCTTCTGCGAGTTTCGAAATCATTACCTTTCGCGATGTGTACAGAAACATTCGACATGTGAGCACACGCAGGCCATAAGAGCTCCCGCTACTCTATCGCTTCCGCCCGGAGCGAAAGCCAAATTTACACTCACTATATGTTTAACTCTATATCTCTTGCTCCATCTAAAGGCGACGCGTCTACGGTGTTACAATAGAAACCCTTAACAAAGTGCTGAATCGTTAGACACAAAACAAAGCCAGGGAAAGTGCAAATGATAATTAGATACTAGATCCTACTTTGAAATGTTAAGAAACATAGATTCAAGTAAGAGTGCGTGGCTGAGGCATTTTAGAAAGTCATTAACACTGCTTTCACTAAAATTTTCCAGTGCGGCAACTACATGAAGGTTGTTTGAGTTCTATACAACCTAATAGTGTCTTGATAGATCTCCTCTTCGTTGTAATCAGTGACCGCATAGTTCTGGTCATCCTATCAATCATTCCACTTTACTTTGTGTCCGCTCAACAAGGGTTACCTCGATTATACATAGATTATGTGTTTCTAACTCACTAGTAGCGCAGCTTGTGAAGTGGCGTAGCGCTGTATCTTAGCTTTTCAATACAGCAAGCCGCAACGTGTCTGAGTGCTGCCAAGTCAAAACTAGGTAAAGTACTGACCTGGCGTGAATAGAAAACATGCTGGCAGGCCCTCGTATGCGGGAATGATCAGATTCCAACAGCAATGCATCTATGTAGTCATCATGAACATGGCACTTTCGCTTGATTAAAGCATTATAATTCTATAAAACCAGCGCTCGATGTGCAGGTTGCCTCTGTAGGACGAACCACGTAGCCTTATGCGCGGGGGGTTTAGTTCCCAGCCCTCTCACGTGTATCTGAGAGTACCCCGCACTCGCCAGAAAAACTGGTTTCTTCGTATCTTCCTAATTAGCAGGAAACTCATACAGTTCTCTATCTCATATCTTCGATCTAAATTCCTACATATCCTGGTGTACTGATGGCTTTTCTTACGTAGCATCTGAGTAACGATTGTGATTGGCCCCAAGGCCTTCAACATCGAATGGTTTGTCCGTGATTTGCCTTATTTGGCTCTTCTACGCGGCAATTTGAGCTACATTAGATTGCACGAGTACCCATAATTTTAGGCTTAGTATTGCATATGGCAAACGATATGGAGTAAGACCCTGCGCGATCCGAGTTTTTGTTCTTCGTGATTAACAAGACTAGACCAAGCGACCCAATCGTCAAGTTAAAGGTCACGAAGCCAGCCGGTGATACGGAAAATCTCAATGTCCACCGCGGTGTCCTTTGCAAGAGCTCAGGCTTTTTCCGAAGAGCTACAAAACCAGAGTGGACCGAGTTGAGAGAACAACCAGACACCATCGATCTTCCAGACGACTCTGTGCAAACTGTCAGCGACTACATTAGATGGCTTTACTCTGGTAACACGTCGATCAAGCTATACTACGTGGGCGAGGACAAACGTGAAAGGGTGGCTGAAGAAGCAGAAAAAGTCTTCGTAATGCTTGCAGAAGCATATGTTTTTGGAGAGAAGATTGTCGATACGAAGTATAAAAATGCAGTGATGGAAACCATGATAGCAGCGATCGACAGTTCTAAATGGAATCCAGGACCTCCTAGTGTTGATATCATCTATAAGGGCACCCCTTCTACATCGCCTTTCAGGCGCTTAATCGCTGATAAGATCGCATGTCTTGCATATGATGACTCGGAGGAAGGAGCTGGCTGGATAGACTTTTTCGATGGATATCCAAGAGAAGCCTTGGCGGATGCAATCAAGGCCATGGTAAGGGTACGCCCTAGCCCTAAAAATGATTGTATTATTTCTATTAGTTCGTATCTTGATAAAGAAGAAGAGGAAGGTGGAGTAGAGACATAGAATAGTCGCGCAGTCTCATCCTCATCCAAGACCCATCTTGAAGCCTCTTTCATATACGACTAGCTGCAGGAGCCAAGGCTTCTCTAAGTAGAACAAATTGTTCTTGTCGTTACAGTCAAACACATATTGCTCGCCGCCTTACATACAAGTCTCCATTTAAGCGCTACATTGCAATTCAACCATGCCGAGGTGGCTATGGCTCTTACACAAACAGTGTTTTGGCAATGACCGATTGTTGCTCGATCGTGCACAAAAATCGTTATCAATGGACAGTGTCTTCGCTATGGAAGGGATTTCCTTCTGAATCGAATTGTTGCATGATGGGCAGGACAGCGTCGTTGGGTAAAGTCGTTCTTACCCGCTATCAACAACTCAGCATGCGCAACCTTATATGATCAAGAGTTGCCAACGATTCATTATGTGTCAGTACGTATCCGCTCTAGGCAAAAGCTTCGCCGTCAGACTCTCCTCTCCTTGTCCGCCTCAGAGTAGCTCTGGCTCTTTACCTGTTCAGGTATAGTGACTCGGCTAAGCATTAAGATCATGATATTAACTCGCATATACTGCATTGTGTTGCGTCTAAATCTTTCTAGTGCTGCCAGCTTTGGTTTCTAATAGGACTGGAGCATTGAGCTCGGTTACGCATTGCCACCCTCCCCTAATCGACCGGTACGGGCCCGAGCGAGATTCTTTTAGCGGTATCGTCGGATATTTCCTAATGTTAATCTAAACAACCCTGTGTGAGCCGACGAACTGACTCGCCTGTGAGTTAGTGCAACGAGATCAAGAGACGTCTTTGTCGTGTTACTGATCAGAGCACCAGACACCAAACAACACACATCTAACGCCACCACGCGATCCACCACAGCACACTACTAATTCACTGCTAAGTATGAATACTACAGAAGTGAATCGCCAATGGCGATATGCTGTTGATTTGCCTTTTTGTCCCTCGGAACTGTCATGCTACATGGTGATAGAGTAAAGTCTAACCTCCGAGGACCTACTTCCGAAGCTGGTCATGCATCTCCTTTTCTTGAAAGTGCTTACGGATGTCCTTCAGAACCTACCCTATAATATTTTTCCTATAATATTTGCTATTAAGCGTGTTTGCCTTAGCATTACTAATACTAATCACCTAAATGCAGTTTTTAGGTATATACTTAGCTAGGTGTAACGGCGCAGGTAAGACGAGTCGGATCCGTATCGGTAGAAGGATCATTGAGAGACATATGGGAGTGTGTGGGATCACAAAAGAACCCAGATTCAACTGCTCACCTATACACCTGGTACGAAAGGGTATCGAAAAGCTGCTGAACTAGCTACAGGGAGAGTCTTAATACATATCTATCCTAGTCAGATCCGAACCGTATCCGACTATCCCTGCATGCCACCTCCCTCTCCTCCTATAACAACCGCCTTCCTTGCGATAAAAATCTTCAAGGGTTGATAACCTGTAGGTTTATGTACCTCTCACTCACTTCTAGGTTGCCACCGAACATAGAAATAACAATAGTGACAAAACCTGCTTTACGCGCAAGGATATGAAAATCAACACCATTTGTGTTCACATCACATTTCGTGAAGAGCACATTCTAGACATTAATTAGCAGAAGAATGTTGTTAGATCAGAAAGCAGCTTACCGAACGTGGGATTCGAATATTGAACCCTCGCCAGTATTTGACAGCGTCTGGAGAACCCTGCATTGTCTCTTAACTCTAAATGTGATCAAACGTTGCTATCACCACTTACTTGTGCAGATAATGTTACAGAGCTGCCGACTTTGATTGGACCTTTCGAGTTTGCTGTCACTAGACCAAGTGAGTGGTGAGACTGCCCTGTCAGAGAGTTGTTGAGCACGCTTTTAATTCTGTTGCCGAAGTCAACAATTGTAGATGCTTTCCCAACACGTGTATCGATAGTACAGAGATAGCATGGGTTAGTAGTTGTCGAGTAAAACATTCTGCTACTACCAGTGACGTTTGTATCGTTGAAAGCATCGTCATCGCCTACAGCAGCATTTGGAACCCAGCCCTGAATAGCATTTTTACGCCGATCATATTCTATCGGGGCATGGGCGTAGTATGAATATCCAAATACATTTACAGTAATGATCTCACCCAGGTTGTTATTGGGCTTGAACGTCCAGGTGGCTGTGATTTGCCAGTTGCCCTGTGGAGTTGAGAGGTAGGGCTGATACCATTTTCCGTCATTTTCAAACTCTTTGGCTAGTTTGTCGAGAAGTGACAACGCAGACTGGCTAGTATCACCCTCTTTCTCAAAGCAGCGGGAGGTTACAAGCTGCGCGATGCCTTGACCATCTGTGATATCGGAGGCATCTCCGAGTTTGTAATTGAGTGGATTATTATTTTGCTGGTAACGGCTTGCACGGCTGTCAATGGCTTGGTTGACGTAGTCTTCAAGCGTGACATCGCCCAATTGGGGCCCACAGCAAGCGTCTAGGACGTTGTGCCCGTTTCCTTTGCTGATTGTCACAAACATGTGGTTCGAGAAAGCTGAGCGCTTTACTTCGTCTTCCCCACACAGCATTGGTAATCCATTGACTTTGCCATAGAATGGATTGTTGCAAAGGTTCTTCGGGTTTGTCATTGGATTTGGAGGATCCTCCTTCCTTCCGATCAAGTTTGTAGGGTTGATGAATCCATAGGGGTCCATATACTTCATCCGGACGATTTGCGTGGACGAGTCTACTCCTAGTGACACTAGAGCCTGACAAATGGCAGCCAAGTCATAGCAATTGACAGTATGCTTTGCTTTTTGTAGCACCACACCTTTCAAATCTGAAAGCCAGAGGTCAAGCCAAAAGTCAAGACCAATGTTGTTGGTAAAAAGATCTCTGAAGCTGCCTCTGGAGCTGACATACTTTGAGGAACCATTATAGATCTCATATTCTAGACGGCTGTCTGAGTACAAAGCGTTGGTGACAAACTTAATCCAATCCGTCTCTGGGTCCTTCATCCAGGCTGATAGATAATGAGTCTCACGAAGAAGTGCCAGAGGAATTCCAGAGGTGTCGAAATATTCTGGTAATGTAGCGGGCAAGACATAGAACTCAACTTGTGTCTTGCAGTTGAAGATAGGATCTTTAGGGTCTGAACCTTTCAGCTCCCAATCCAATTCTCCCCAATAGCACCAGGGCAAATCTTTAGTAGCTCCCCCTGGAACCCCAGTTGTGGTTGGATGCTGGAGTACAAGCTTACTCAGTTCAGGATCCGTTGGTTGACTAAAGGTCTTGCTGAAGACAGCCATTGTCCCCAATTTTGCGGCAATGCTGAAAGGCGCTTTTAGAGAGAGAAACTCCTTGGCCACCACTGTTGGAGGGAATGCAATCGCAAAAGTAGTGACATTTGATATTGCGACCGGGAACGACTTTTTTGTGTCCTTATCCCAAATGTACTGGGAATTTAAACTGAAGTAATATTCGATTGGATTGGCGATATGGTCATAGAGTGGGTAAGTGACCTTCGACACCGAAATGGTTTGAATGAAAGGCTCCATTGTGCTATGAATCCTTGGAAAAGCCTAGGGCTTAGAATTGTGGTATGTGTTGCAGTATATGTTGCTGCGATAAGTATCATCTGAAAGTGAAGGCAGCTAACAATTTATAATGGCTGATGCGGAATCGCCTTCCTCTACTATCTATAATTTTCAGCATTGAGTGTCTTGCATCATCTATGGATTGACTAAGACAAGTCTTATGTTCTCGGACAGCAACCAATGACGTTGACTGCCAAAGATACAACCATTTCTCGGGGGTTCCGCGAGTATCTCGCGTCTTGTTCCTAGATTGGCAGATATTTGCGCCTCAAAACGCCTAGCTGAAACAAGAGGAGGTCTAGAGAGCGGAATGGCCCGAACCCCGCACATCGCTTGCGCAAAGGCGCGAACGCCACTAAAAAAGGACGCCACTATTTCTCGGGGGCTCCGCGAGTATCTCGCGTCTTGTTCCTAGATTGGCAGATATTTGCGCCTCAAAATGCCTGACTGAAGCAAGAAGTGGTTCATAGCGGAATGGCCCGAACCTCGTGCAGTGCTAGCACAAAGGCGCAAAGGCCGTCGAAACTCTATGGCACGCCACCAATATAACCTTTCGCACTAAACCTGGTATCTGCGCTGTCGTTTACCCATACCTTTTCCATATAAAGTAAGATTGGGTTTGTTCTTGCTGTAGGATTTTGCTGGCCAATAGGATTCTTCTCTCGTGGCTAAGTGCTTGCATATCTCTTCAACCTGCGCTTTCACTGTCGGTCGCGCTGCATGATGGCCCATTTTCCCTAACCCCGTTACAGATCAAGATGAAATTGTTAGTGGTGACGTGTACGTACGACCTCCATCGCTTAGACCTCTGAATTCTTGGGAACATGAGGACCAAATCTAAATCGCTCAACTACTTTATGAAGCCGAAGTGATCTTCCATCGTCCTAGGACATCCTTGGACTAACTAGGATGATGGACGAATTATTAGTCTAAAGTAGTGTGCTTCGTAAACAAAGTGAATGAGGTCGAATTTGGCGCCCTCAGTCAAGTGCTTTAGCATCGTCAATGTAGGGTGTTCTATGATATCAACATGTACCTAGTCGTAGATCTCTGGCAGATATATGTACAGTCCAAGCGCGATATGGCTCTAGCCTAAAGATGAGTACTTTTTCGATAATATTAGAAGAACTGCAGGAGAGATCCAGACCATCCGCGGCGTTCAGTAGGCAAGCTGAACGCTGCAAGAGAATGAAGTACTGAGCTGAAGGTGGAGACGAATTGATCACAAGCCAGTCAAACAGGATAGTCTGGATACTTCCGCTGACTCGCCACATGCGACAATATGCTCATTGGACTTCCAAAAACCTTACTGAAAAGCCACCCATGTTGCGAATAAGAGACAATCCTTCGAAGAACTGAAGTATTTAAACCAATTTCTTCCCGACTCAAAGCCTGCATCAACAACTAGTATTCGATCGAAACATCAGCAGCACACCTTTCTTCACTTTGACATTTATCGTCAGGCTCCTACAGCTCAATCAACATGTCTATTACCCGTCAAATTACCATTCAAGCCGATGGCCCAACCCTGGCCAAGCTGGGAGCGAGCCAGTTCCAGCTTCACGTAGCCAAAAGCGTGATTGGAAGTGATGGTCAGCGTAAGTGATTCATCTTGCCGAAAGTGTTTGGAGCCCTCCTGACAAGTAAAGTGACCTTCAATGTTGTCTGGCAGTCCAAGGCTCTTCAGCCATTTGTTGACATTAAATGGACGCCCGAATATGGTATGAACTGGACGGCCGACTCTCCCCAAGACGGTATCTCGGTCACGATCCGTGGAATTTGGCAGGCTTGCAAGCCCGGTCAGATCTTCGATCTCAATGCTCAGGGAGTGTGGACGAAATCTGCATCTACCCCTGTAAAAGACTTTATGGCTATCGGAAATAACGATTTCTATACTGATGATGCCCCAAACGGCATCCACGTTATCATCGGTATTAAAAATAAGTCCGGCAGCTTCGATCCCATCTTCATGAACCCTACGGCGATGGGTAAGGGCATGAATGCCACTTTCCAGCCACAAGAGCAGATGCAGTGGTGGTATGCGGCCGGTGCCAAGTCCGCAACTATGTTCTCCAACGTCTCATCCAGAGTTGAGACAGCGGACTTTTCTTCGGCGGATCCAAATACTAGTTCGTACAAGAAGCAATCGTCATATGGCTTCGAACAAGGAGTTTGGTCCACCCAAGCTATTGCGTGAGTATTGCTCCACATTGAGAGTATTGCAAAGATGCTCAATCAAACTGACAAACGTGCAGTTGATTCCGACAACAGGAGAATTAACTCAAGCATGGATACATCTGTTGCTTTATATATCAGCTTCATTATATATCAGCTTCAGCTACTGAATCTATATTCACCTGGGGAAGCAGTTAGTTTGGGTAACTACTAGTTATTTATTCATAACTAATTTCTCATGAGAACTTGTCCCGAATTAAATGCATGTGCGAATCTTGGAAATGAAGCGAAATGTTCATTTCGTGCACTGTGAGATATACTACATATATACTAATCTTCTATACCATAGTCCTAATCCTAGTAATCCTCCTAGGAACGAGGCTCGCTAGAATAGCTAGGATTGGTGGGAACTATCACGTGATCGGGTAGAATCAGGGCCGAAGCCCCTGTAGGCCGCGTCACTAGCTCCCTGATCGTAACATGACAATGCGTGTGACACTTTTTACTACCGCCTATCGGCCGCTAGCTCTCATGTGGATACAAAACACTATGCCGGATAGGGGTTAGTGTAAGATTATGGCGTATATATCTTCGTTCCAGTATCTAAAATCTAGGGCAATTTCCACTCTTATCCTCATGTTTGATTCGTGATTCACTCTATCATACTCTACTCTAAGATCTTATACTTTGTCTAGAAAATTCTTAGAGGTGCATATAGTACGTCTCTGATCGCGCTCCATCCCGCATAACTGTACTTACAGGCCCTGTGTAAGTTCTGATCTCCAGTAGCAAGTCCCAGAGATAATCAAACATCTAAACCAAACGGAAAGCTGCATGCAAAAGGCCCTTCAATTTGCAAAACTTTATATTTTTGTTCTTTGTGGGAGGCCGTAATATCATGCGGGAAGTACATTCTGCATCAGATATCGTGCCTCACATAAAGACTATCGAAGTCTACGAGTCGCCAGCCGACCTCGAGAGCCTTCGCCAAAGTAAATTCAAGCTTTGTCTTGCCCACACCTTCCTCGCGAACAACAATCTCGTCTCGACTCTCGCCTGGAAATCGCTTAGCCCTGCCCCCTTTACTCCAATTACCTGGCAGGCATCTTACGCTTTGAACTGGACAGATGAGCTGCCAAATGGTATTTCAGACCCCATTACGCTCAGCGGATTATGGCAGCCTTGCAAGAAAGGCGAGGTTTTTGATCTTGACCCAACAGGATTATGGTCACGGTCAAGCAAAACACCAGTTCCAGGGAAGCTGATGGTGGGCATAAATAGATTTAAGGGCGACATAGGTACAGGAGTTTTCATTGTGATAGGTCTAAAGGGCAAGGATGACAAGTTCGATCCGGTACGTGAAACAAAGTCTACTCGAAACTATGAAAAAGATGGTTCTGCTAGCTGACATTCAAGCACAGATTTTCATTGATCACGTGAATGTAGGCCTCAACATGTCCGCAATATTCGAACCTTCTGATGTTGTGAAGTGGTGGTATAGAGCAGAAATCGAGGCAGCTGAAACACTTTCCCCAGAAGAGAGTTACGATATGGCTACCGTTTCTTACGTCTCAAGCACATATAGTTATGTAGATGGAGTATGGGCTACTAGTATAGATCGAGCACCTAGATTGGTATAACTAATTATGAGGCTTATTTGGTGGGCTTGATCCCTTGAACTTGGATAACGCTGAACTAGTGAACGTGAATGATACGCGATTGCATCAGGTAAGCGAGTGCATTACCCTACTAAGATCACGCGCTTTAGTATATAAGATCTGTCTCCATAGGTCGAACAACTCTCTGCGTAGAAAACCAATATCATTCAATCGTCTTACACCTTGAGCGCACACTATTGAAGGCCCTGTTTTTTGCGCAGGGATCCGACAGGCCATATGCTCATTTGCAGTTCTGCCTCTATAAGGTCCCTAGATGGTGGCTTTACCTCAAAGTCCAAATCAAAGGCGGCCCACTTTGTGGATGCATCAAGCGTATGTTCAATATCCCTTCGACTAGTAGATTCGAGTCTTTCCTAGGGATCAGAGTTGGTATGCTTTCGATGCCAGTATGAGAGGACGTAATCAGTCTTGCGGTCAATAGCCTTGCAGCGCGTAACAGGATCAGCAGGGGTTTGAGTGGGGATTTTCGAGAGGTAGGTAGGATTCATTGATTGCGACTGGCAGCACAAAGACCAGTTAGCCTTATTCTGAGAGTCTTCAGGTGGTAAACGTACGCGCTCTGAAACCACCAGTTGTTGTCGGCGCCACTAGTCACACGCGGCTGGGGGGTACGCTTTTCGTAGCGGCACATGTGTAAGTGATGTGGCTTGCGGCTGCTTCCGCTGAACTGTGTGCAGCGCGCGAAACACGCAGGGCGCAGAAAGAGGCTGCCTGAAGCGTTCACTCAGAGCGATCAGCTGAGCGGGACCGCCGAGTCAAGGTTCTTGATTTTCAAGCTTGCTACCCAAGCCACAAGACGGCCCGCTCTTGGCACTGCAACTCCTCATCGCTCGTGGACAGCATGGCCATGCTTTCAGCTCTCCTCGATACCATGGACTTAGCTCTCTATCGAATACAATCTTGTTACCTTGGCCTGTCCAATTGTGCTCCCGAGCTTAGGACGAATCCTTGAGGAGTGACCTTAGGTTCAGACAAGACTATATACTCTATGCACGTGATTAGGACTGCCCTGGCCCGAGGGGTGCCCAATGGATCCCCGAGGGTCGTCCTCTCCAGTTCAGAGTATCGTGACACCTAGAACGAGATTTTCAAAATTAGATCCACTAGCCTAGATAATACTGCACATATCTTATCTGTAATTCACTAAAGGAATACAAATATAAGGGGCTGCGCTCCGTAGAGCAAAAGATTTAGTATACAGGAGATTGTATTCAATAGAGAGCTATCTACTACTACGTACAAGATCAATATTATACTCAGTAGTGATCAGCAGCGGTCAAATAGTGACCGGTGCGCTTTGTCTAATCAACGATGAGACCGGTGCACGTTATATAATCCTTGAACAACCCAAGATCCCGTCGAGGAGTAAGATCAAAGGACACTAGCCCGTTACAAAGTCATTGTATCTAATCTTAGCCTGATTTCCAATCTCAAAATTATAAGTAAGACTCCTGGACGAGAAATTTCCTTAAAAATGCTGACCAAGTCTTAAAACGCTAACAAGTTGTCTTCTAGCAAGGGGATGTCTAACACCTGACTCGATTCAGTGGATCGTTTCCTTGCCCGTCATTCACATCAGTTCGCAAGTATTCATGTCTGGAATACGAGTACTGTAGTTTAGCCACTTAGCCATTCTCTCAGGTATTTTTCAAAACAAATGACTATGTACCAGAACGTAACTAAGATTACCTCACAGCTTTGTAGTTCGATAGTCCTTTCCTTTAGTACCCCCCTGTTTCTGATTTGTGAGAACGCTCAGTGCGGAAAGAGCCTGACCGCTTATCTGGTACTCGGGCCCAACGGCTGCTGTAGCAGAATTTCAATGAAATTGCCCGTGCTCCGCACGGGCCTATCACCTCAACGATAATAATCACCTTAATAATAACACGTAGCTTTTAGTACATACATCTACTACAACAACGTATAATAAAATAAACTTAAATACGCATAACGTGATGGATAAGCGAGTCGCGCAGGCAAGCGAGTCGCGCACCCACTAAACCTACGCACCTCTATAAGCGTATAGCGCCACCACAATGTAACTATCTTGATATATATTAATATAATATATTAAGTAGTACCTATAGTATCTTTCTTGCATGTACGCGTATTATGACCAGTCTCTCTACACCTACTACAGCGCGCAAGAGCCTGGCGACTAGCACCTGATCGCTCTCCTCCTTGACGCTCTTCATGAGCAATCTGCTGATCAGCCTCACGCTGAGCAAGTAGATCCTCTCCAGCTCCCTTTGTTAGCACTCCTTGCTTCTGTATTCGTCTTTTTTTTACGCTGCCTACGCTTCGTTACTGCTGCATTAGCTCTCTCAAGGCTAGTGATCCGATCGCGCATTAGCTCAGCCGAGAGTATCATTACCTCTGCC